TATCTGTTTGGTTTTGGGGACAATAGTTGTGTGAAGGTATTGCACCGATCCTTATGCGCATGGGATATGAAAGAAGACCTCTCTAAGGGAAAAAGGCGTTGCAGTTATTTAGATAAAAATTTAAAAACTGTTTCATTGAACGGAATTGTTCAATTTGGTTTCTTAAGTTACCACTGTTATGTACATATGCATACATCACCGCGTACAGCTGTAAATATAGAATATGCATATTGCTTTAGTTCGCAATGGAAAGCAGTTTGTTGAAAGTGTTAAGGTCCACTTTTTTTTACACAAGGTCTTTTTTTTTTATTGTATTTAGTCTAATGAAATTATAAGTAATTCCGTCAAGATATGCTATTTTTTTTTCTTTTCGTTAGTAAAAACAACATCAATGAATTTTTTTTCTTGTTGCTGGAAAGAACTTTAATTTTATGCAACAACTATGTTTTTCCTCGAGAAGTTTGAATGAGAAGAAAAAATTTAAACATTTCAATTATTATGTTAGTCGTTTAGGCACCCAGCTTTTTATTTTTCAAAATGTTTAGTTAGTAGATTGTCAGGCACCTTTTCAACATTGCCTTTCATTAAAAGCTTTGCTTTCTACTATGGAGTCTTTGTAAATGTTTGGAGCCTATTTTTTTTGCTACGAGAAAGAAAAACCAAGGCTAAATTGGTTTAAGGAATAAGGAATTTTTATTTTTATTTTTGACTTACTAGCAGATATTTATTAGTTTTAAGTTTTTTTTTAAATCAATCTCTTTGCTTTTCAGCTTTTCTGCTTGACCGTTAGTTGAGATGAGCTTTATAAAAATATTTCTTTTGCAATCTAACGGCCAATTGACAAAAATTTACTGGTAGATGAAGGTATTTTTTAACGGACTACTGAACGGCAGTTATAGTTTTTTTTTCCTTTTTTTTTTTGGTAGAGTAAGAAAGCTGAGATCCTGTTTTGACCGATAAAATTTTACGTAAAATATCTCCATATAATAATACTTTTTTTTTTTCTCGGTTTTTAGTTATATTTGTTGGTTGGTGCAGTTTTTTTGGCCGCTGCTTAAAAATGTGGTTCGTAGTGAACTCGTTTTTTAAGAATCCGAATTGCCAGTAGAACTATGCAACTGGAAGAAAATTCATTTTTGTTTCCTCATTTTTTTTTTTCCGCCAGCTTTTCAGGGTGTCTTTTTTTGCAATGACAAAAAAACTTATTAATAATTCATTGTATGTTGGCGGTGCTATTAGTTTTTTTCTTTTCCGTCATAAATAATTTTTTCATTATAATTATATGTTGTTCCAGTCTATCACATTGCTGTTTCTATTGCTGTTGTTGCCGTTACTATTGTTGGGTTACAGTAGAAGAAGATGAAGAAGTGGAAGAAGAAAGAAGAAGTTCATTTAAATATCTTTTGAACTTTGAAAACCTTTGGTATTTTTTTGTGGAATTTAATTGATCTATTCTGAAAACGACAAAAAATATGCTCAAGTTTCTGTGGCAGGAACTTCAGTATTCTGTCTTCAATCAGTCAGCAGAATATTTATTGACTGATGATGTATATAAACAACGTTTAACTGATGCCATAACAAAGATGACATTTTATTTTGTCTATCTCAGTTCCCATATAATGTTCGATAGATAAATCGAAAAATTGTTGTGGATCAACTATAGAATTACTGATTAATACATTTAAGCATTATTTAAGAGAAGAAAAAAAGAATTTTTGCTGTTACTTCACTTTCGTTTTGTTGCACTTTTCTTTGAACCATTGAAAAGTTTTTTGTGCATTGCTACTAAATTTATTTGGATTGTTTTCGCTGAACGTATATAAAGTTTACTTTTTTTTTCTTTCACAAATAGCGTAAAGAAAGAAGAAAAAAGAGTGAGAGGGAAAAAAAAAACGTACAAATTTAGGGCACTTTATTTTTTTTTTTCTCTCTTTCTAGTTCCAATATAAATATAAATCATAGGGTTTCGCATTGATTTTATTGAGAGGAATCGTTGCTTTTTTTCTTTTTTTTTTGTCTGCTGTTGTTACTCACTAAAGTTAATATAATGGCTTTGTAATTGGAAAGACATTAATTTAACACCACTACCAGCATTGTCACCAATGACACTATTACCGTCAACATCATTATTGACAGCATTAAAATTGATTCACAGCAAAAAAAGAATACTAGAAAATACTCGAATTTAGTATCCAAAGAATTGTCGCTTCAGTCATTGACCAATATTTATCCATCTGTTTTTCTTTTTGCGACTGTTATCGTCAGTAGTTTTAAAGAACGTTAGAAAGTTTAACGTTTCTTCTATAATAATAATAATAATTATTATTATTTTTCTTTTTTGTTTTGTTTTTTCCTACTTTCTTTTTTTTTTAACTTCAGAAAAAGCTGCAGTCGGCGCAAAAAAATAAAGAGAAGCAAAATGAATGGCAAAAAGGAGAAGAAAAGCTAAAATACTAAGATAGCTAAAAAGTGCAAGTAAGCATCTGCAAACAAAGGGTCTAAATTAATGCTAATCGAAAATTTCAGTTCTGAATGACCTAATAAATAACTCTGAAACAACAAATCTAAGTTATAGTTAAGAACTGCTTCTGTTTGCAACATGAACATTTATTCACACGCACTGAAAAATGTTTGTGCAAATAAACATTTACAGGTAAATGATTTGTAAATTTTGTTAATTTTCCCTGTTTTTTCTGACATTTTCTATTTCTGCTTTTTTCTTTTTTTTTTTTTTTTTTTTTTTTTTTTT